CCAATGTGTTATCTATTTCTGACAATTTAGTGTTAATCTTTTGGATTTCTATCTGTAGATTTAGAATCATTTCTAATTTTTCATTTACTTTGTCATTTTGTTCTTGTATTTTCTTCCAAAATTCTTCTAAGGTTTTTTCTCTGTTTTCTTTGGTCTGTCTCTCAATCCATTGAAGATACCTAAAGATAATTCTTTTGAATTCCTCATCAGAGAGTTCCAATGCTGCTTCTTCCTCAGGGATGTGTTCTGGGTCTGTATCCTGCTCCCTTGCTCCTACCACTTTATCCTGCTTCTTTGTGTGGACTGTGATGGTCTGTTGTCTCTGAGGCATTGCGGTGTTGTTGTATTTAGATCTCTGTTAACTGTTTGTGAAGAGTAGCCAAGGGTGGTTCAGGCTCTTCTTGGTGGTTTTTTATCGTTGGCTCAGTGGTGGAGAAGGAGGTAGTGGCTCTCGCTCAGTAAGTGAAGTTGCAGGAGGTGTGAGTGTAGTTGTGTCTTATGGGGACTGTTTCTGTCTCCCACTCAGTGAGACAAAAATTACAATTAAATAACCATCAAACAACTAAAACCACATGGACAAAAAACACACCAGGCAATCAAACAGGAACAGTAACCAAAAAAAGAGAAAAGGGAAAAAGAAGAAGAAAAAACAAGAAAACCTGCAATATCTGGGGACAGGGCACTAAGAGAAAAAAGGTAGAGAAGGAAAATAATGAACAAAGAAAATGGGAAAAGTGTAAAAACAAAAACAAGGAATGAGTTTATCCATGAGAAAAAAGGGGAAAAAAGGATAAGAAGAATTAAATTAAAAGAAAAAATTCAACCAGGAACAGGGAAAAGAAGCTGAAAACTAGGACCTGGGAGGGGAAGAATAAGATTAGTAGTAAAAAGGAAAAAAGTATTTATAATAATAGTTGTTTTAAAACAGACAAATACAAGCAAACTAATCACCAGAAAAAAGAAAGTGAAAAAGAAAAAAATAAAAATAAAAAAAGAGAAAAAAGATTAGTGGAGGACAGGGCAGGGCACCCAGGCTCTGTCTGAGCACACAGACTGTGATGGAATTCCTGTGGGCCCAGAAGGTAGGTGGGAGTGGGGGATGGCCACACCTCCATTCACCAAGTGGGTGTGGGGCATAGAGTAAGAAGAGGAATGTGGCACCTTTTCTGTCTTGCAGGTCCAGAGTGACCTTGGGGTTGATGGAAAGCCGAACCTCTTCTTAAGCCCCTGGAATCTTGGAGAGTGCTGTCTCTTTAAATATCCAAAATAGTCAAGCTGCTTGTAACATTCAAAATGGGGTCTCCAGTAGAAACCAGACTGGCACAAGTCCACAGCTCAGCCCGCTTTTCTCTTCAGCTTCTTCGTTTATTCCCCAGCCACCAGAATAGTCCCCATGCAGTCCCTGGCTAGCAGTGCTGATTTTTAGGTTAATTCTTAGGTCCTACCATCAGTCAGGTATCTCCAAGCTGTCTGTGCCATCATGATCACTCAGGATCGTTGCCAGACCACAGCTCTGTCTGTCTCCTTTTTTGGTATTTTCACGCAAATTCTTCTGCTATTTGGGGTTTAGTCCAGTTCTATATCCTTCCCTTCAAGGCTCAGGGGTCCAGGATTATCATCTGTGTCTGTGTTAATTGGTTTCCCTTTTCTTTGTTGAAGAGGGTCTGTACAGTCTTTCTGCCTAGTCCGCCATCTTACTGGAACTCCCCAATCTTCCTTCTGAGGAGTGGCTGGTGGGTTTGAATCACCAGCCTTCTGGTTAGCAGTCAAATCCCTTAGGCACTACACCACCAGAGTTCCTTTATAAATGCTCTAGACCACATCTAATCTAACAGGGCATGCTAATGAGGTTACTCTTGGGTGGGGGCTGGCCAGACTAGAAAGACCTACCTTATGATATTAGCTGATCTCAGGAGAGAGGAGCAAGACTCAATCAATCATACCTACATAATGAGGTACAAATAAAGGTTCTGGACATGGATGCTTCATGGGCTTCTAGTTGGTGAGACATTGATGCCTGTGAGTGAGCTAGCTGTTGTTGTTATGTGCTGTCGAGTCGGACCTGACTCAGCGACCCTTCCTTGGGTTTCCAAGGTAGTATCACTACGGAAGTAGATTGTCCCATCTTCCTTCCAAGGAGTGGCTGGTGGTTCAAACTGGTTAGCAGTCAAGTGCCTTAGGCACTACACTACCAGAGCTCCCTTTCAGTGAGTAGCACACCCCTTTTGGGGAGATGGAAGTTCTGCATTTGGAGTCCTCCCAGACTTCACTCTATACATATCTTCATTTGTATTCTTTTACTTCATTTGTATTCTTTTACATACTTATGTATGTAACCATAAGTATAACACTCTCTTTGAGTTTGAGTTGTTCTAGGAAATT